GTTGGAAAACTTTAAGTGGACCCCAGTTTGGTTTGTTCTTTGCATCTAAAGTATCCAGTCATTAGCAGCAGAAGGGCAGCAAGATTTGGTTTGTTTGTTTGTTTGTTTTACATCTACAGTGTTCTAAGTATGTTTGGAATTCTTCCTGCATATTTTCAGCATGACACCAATGGGTGCCTATTCAAACTAAAGATTGTGTGTGTAAATGTGCCTTCAAATCTTCACCAATATGAGGTTCATAAGGTTTTCTAAGGCAAGGAACATGAAGCAGTGGTTTTACCACTTCCTTACTTTTGCCAATTCCTTCTTTAAATAAAGTATACAGCACCTAGTAATCATTAGCAGTCTACCATTGAAATACCAACCAGAGCTGAACTGCTTAGTTTCTAAGATGAAATCTGGTGTTTTTAGGGAATTTAGGCCCTAAACTACATACTATACCTTAAAATGCCCATCATATGTTCACAGTTAAATAGCAAAACCACTATAGGTGTTGTGGAGTGTAACAGTAAAATGTAATGGAGGATAATACGATGCAGCCCTGGTAGTTAAAGTGGGATCATAATCCTGCAAAGGTGTATTTTGAAAAGGTCCCAGGCCTTCTCATCTAAAATAAGGTAGGGGAAAGTCCAAGGCTCTGTCCAAATGTATGGAAAGTACAACCAAGGCCGTGCAAAACATGCAGGAGCAATTCAGTTTGTATTGTCTAAAGCTTTCGTGGCTAGAATGACTGGGTTGTTGAAGGTTTTTCGGGTTGTATGGCCATGTTCTAGAAGCATTCTCTCCTGATGTTTCGCCTGCATCTGTGGCAAGCATCCTCACAACCTCTGAGGATGCTTGGCACAGATGCAGGTGAAACGTCAGGAGAGAATGCTACTAGAACATGGCCATACAACCCGAAAAACCTACCATCCAGTTTTCCTTTCTGTTGCATCCTCCAACCCTCTGCTCCAGCTAGCAATGAATTTTCTTTGCCTGCATTGAATTGTGGCTGCTTTCTTCTGGATTTCCAGCCAGTGCTGTGTCACCGATTGTTTGGATGCTTCTGGTGTGGTTATAATTTTTTTAGCTCACCCAAGGACCAGAAGAGATGGGCAATAAAATAAATCAGAGTGCACAGAGAGAAAGAGTGCAGCAGGTGCAAGCCATTAACTGTGCAGCCTCCCAGCAACCTCATTTGCCGACATGCGCTTCTGATGCTTCAGCGTGGCAATCATTCTAATCCCATTGTTCCTACAGACCAGCAAAAAACATTCCCAGGTTGCCATGGGTACAAAAACACATTTAAATAATTAACACATCAATTAAGTGTCTAACCGTAACGTTGTGTCTCAGAAACAAGGCAAGGTACATGTGATATCAGGACAGTGGCTTACTAGACCCTATGTTCCACTATATGTAACTCCTGTAGCATTTAATTGACTGATTTTAACTAAGCATAGAGAGAACCAAGAGACATTGCAATCAAGTGGTTATAGTCTTAAAAAAAACAAGCACTGAAACAAATGGAAAGGGGCACTTGGGAACTTGAAAAAATATCTCAATTTGTCTTTTTTTCTCTTTTTACAAAAAGAGTAATGTTCAGCAGCTATTATCTGTGTGATGTAGTGGTTTAAGTGATGGACTATAACTCTGGAGATCACAGTTCAATTCCCTGCTCAGCCATGGAATCCCAGTGGGTGATCTTGGGCAAGTCACACATTCTTGGCCACAGAAAAACCCATGGTGGGTTCACTTTAGGACTGCCATAAATCAGAATAAAACTTGAAGGCATATAACAACAGCAGAGTAACTGTAAATTATTCTGGTAACACACACTATGAAAGGTTAGAAACTATAAAATTTCATGTACAGCTTTGCCCATTTTGCATGCTTACATTGAGTAATATTCTAGAATCGTGGTCACCATCATCATCTGAATAAGCAAGACTAACTATCAATCAATATTTCTAAACTGTAGAAGTTGAAATTGGAAGCTTTAAAACTAAAATGGCAGAAAATGATCTTGGATTAGGCTGAAGCTTTCCTCCTCACCTTTTGTCTGGCATGACTCCAAATGAGATCAAATATGCTTGTTTGACTTTAGCTAACTGCAAATCAATATTAAATCCAGCCATGAGCAGGCTGTAGGTAACACTTGGAAATGTTACTTTTGGGACTACAACTCCCAGAATACCTTCAACCAGGGTTTACTGTTCTTGTTGCTTGACTTTGACTGAGTGGGAGACCTCCAAGATCTCTAATCATAAACCTGGCCTGGTTCTGGTCTTGCAACCTCAGGTCTGTGGCTTCCTTGACTGAATAAACAATACACAGTGAATTATGTTGTCTCATGATATGTCCAAAGTATGATTATCTTAGTTTACTAATTTCAGTGTCTAGAGAGTATTCAGCCTTGGGAACTGTTCCATTATCCAGGAGGAGACTATTAGGGGCCGCTAGAGAGAGGAGGATAGTCCATTGTATGGGGATGGAGGGTAGGTTGAAGGAGAAAAACCATTTCCCCCTGTTTTCCTGTTATTTCCCCTACCAATGTCCCAGTTGTGGAAATAACTCTTGTTTATAATATGGAAAGGGGGGATGGGAAATAACCAGTAAAAATGGGGAAAATGGTTTTCCTCCTTCAACCCTCCCCCCTGTAAAATGGACTGTCCTTTTCTCTCTATCACCCCCTACTGGCCTCCGCCCAGATAATGAAACGGTACCCAGGCTTGATTTGCAAAATTGTAAAGGTTGCTCTTACATAAAGCCCCTATTGAAAACATTTCCAGACTTTGTCTCCATGGAAAACTCTATGGAGAACTATTTCTGAAAATTTTATCCAATTAATCAAAGCAATTATAACCTTGTGGACAGATTAAGTTTTTAAAAGAACAAACTTAAAATACATTGGTATGTTGCATAACCTTCTCCCACTTTGCAGTTATTTGTATTATATTTAGTAGCCATAGTCTTTCCATAACAATCCATAATACCTTAAAAATATAACCCAATTCTGACAGAAAAAAGTATAGCCATTTGTTGCTTTTTATATTTATAAACAGAATGCATTTAAAAATTAGGTTACATTTCACCTTCAGCTGTACCAAATTCTCAGTCAGCTTTTAGATGATATGCCTTTGGCAGGACCCACTGGTTTGGGTTGTTTTACTTGTAATGTGCCAGGTGCATTGATGGCCCAATATAAATAGATGAGGAGGAGGACAGCAATTCCAGCAAGTAGTGATAGCTGGTGGTTCTTAGTGAGATAGAGATTCCACTCTAAGATTTTTTGGGGTAGAAAAGGCACTGACTGGGATCAGGGACTGGAGGGAGAGAGGAGAGGGGGCTGTTTTTCTGACCTGGAGCTGTCATCCAGGCCAAAACTGGAGATGGCCACCAGTGGCTGCACTGCCACTTTCCGCTCTAGACCATGTCCTGTCTGGAGATAGTAGTGGAGGAAGAGCAGCAGCTACCATGACCACTGCTTATGGAAAGTTTGGTTGCAAACCACTCCTCTCCTCTCCCTAAGATGGGAGATTCTGGAGAATGTGCACCTGAAAGCTGGAGCTTTTTGCCACCTCTGCTGCTGACCTATACTATCTATGCATCTGTATAAAAGTCAAAGTATACATGTGCTTTTGTTAGTTGGTTTGTACCACAAAAGCTCTTACATGGGCTGGTGACTCTGGACCAAACTTGGCTCACATAGTCTTCTTTATCCAACTTAAAATAATAGTGGGGTTTCAGCTACAAACACCACTCTGTTTGGAGTGAGGAGCCCAAAAAGTATAAACGGCAGTATATAAACAGGAATACTGGCCTATAGGCATGTTTATATGCAAATGCAACCACAAGAGGGCAGCATATCCATAAAGGGATTAGCTACCAGTGGACAAAATGGGCACACAAGGAGGCATACAACACAGCTCTGAAGGCCACAATCTGGTCATCCACCCCATAAGGAAGTGAGCATTTTTTTTTTTGAAAGTGGGTATGGGTGCCTGTGCTTTGCTCTGAATCAGAGAGATTGTGACTTCCAAGCAAAAGCCAGATGAAGGAAGAAAAAAAGGAAAGGGGGAATTGTATGAGAGGAGGGGAGGAAAGAAAGAAAAGACAAGACAAGAAAAGAAGGGGAAAGGGACAAAAAGGGAGTGAAGAAAGAAAAAAGAAAAGACAAAGGAAATGAAAAAAAAGAGGAAGGTGTATGAAAGAAAGCATGGGAAGAAGAAAAGGAAAGAAGAATAAAGAGAGAAACAAAGTGTACAAGGGGAAGAGAGAGAGAGAGAAAAGAAAGCTGTAAAGAAAATACAAACCCAGGCAATGCCAGGTATATACAAGTACCTGTACCACCTTTAAAAATCTGATGTATTCAACACCTCTGACCCCAAACATTTCAATAAAGGGACACTTGACTTGTGTTACTTAACATATTGCAAAATGGGGTAACCAATCCTTTCTGTGTTTGATGCCCTCCTGTTAATCCTGCTCAATGGGACCTTGGACCTCTGCCACAAAGTCTATCTCAGGAAGCATTGCAATGTAGGGTTGTTTGAGTGGGGCATGAAATCTTTATCGTGGTTCCTTGTCTAACCTCACCCCACTTACTTGATTCTTCAGGATGCGCTACTGCTTCCCAAATGCAGAGTAACCAAAAATAGCATGTAGATTTCTCATTAGTTGTCTTTTCTCTGCATTCAGCATGACAATTCCATCAAGCCTATTCTCTCGGGGCCTTGCCTTCTAAATCTGTTCTAATTTTTGTTATAATGTAATAGTTGAGCTCTTTCCTCAATGCCCTCCCGCAAATCATTAATGTTCTTCCTGAACCAAATTATAGAGTTATCGTCTTGGATTACTTAAGTGTTGTTGGTAATTGTTCTCTCCAGGAAGTTATAACAATAATGGAAACTTGTTAAATGCGAGCTCTTGATTTACTTCTTTCATTTTTAGCAATATGGAAATTATTTCCTTCCCCTTTGAGATAATCAAAGGTAATTTCTTTGTCTTTGTGTATACAGGCACAATTCTTTCAGGAGACATTTGCCAAGGCAAATGCAGGTGTCCAGCATTGATTTTAACATGGGGACAGATCCAGTTTTACAAAGAGGGGAGACCACTACCAGCATTGGAAGGATAAAACCTGAGCTTTACAAACAGAAGTCTGTGGATTCAGAAGAAAAAAAAGAAGATGTGAAAACCTGTGGGAAACTTAGCTTTACCCTCAAGTACGATTATGAGAATGAATTGCTCTTGGTGACAATTGTCAAAGCATTGGATTTACCAGCAAAAGACTTCACTGGTACATCAGATCCCTATGTGAAAATCTATCTTCTTCCAGACAGAAAAAAGAAGTTTCAGACAAGGGTTCATAGAAAGACTTTAAACCCTGTCTTTGATGAAACTTTTCAGTTTCCTGTAGCCTACGATCAACTTTGCAACAGGAAATTACATTTCAGTGTCTATGACTTTGACAGGTTTTCAAGACATGATATGATTGGGGAAGTTATTCTTGACAACTTTTTTGAAGTGTCCGATCTCTCTAGAGAGGCCACAGTATGGAAAGATATCCATTATGCCACTACAGTAAGTATGGCATCTCAACATGTTGCATTATCTTAAATAATGATGTGTGTGATACCTTTATGATAGTGTTGTCTCATGTGGAAAATGTGTGTTTATCAATGTAACAATTATCAATGTAGGACAATTTCAAGTACCATTTTTAAACTTTGTGAACTACCACATATACACTCCACTCTGTATTGTGTACGAGTTATTCAAAATTATTCTACCTCAGATTTTTAATAACGTTTCCTAAAATTAATTCATTATTTAGTCATTATACATGTATCCCATCTTTCCTCCACTCAGTTTAAGACAGCATACATAGCTGTCCTCCTCTTCATCTGGATGAAGAGCAAAAGGAGAAAACAAAAGAGAGCAACATTGGACCAAAGTTTTCCAATGAATTTCATGGTTTATTGGACCTGAATATTTCAAGTCTTGATACAATACCCAATCCCAGAACCATACTGTACATTTCTCAGTTCACATCCCAATAGATCTACTAAAAATATCCATCTGTTCCTAATCTTTGCTACCTTTGAAACTATTACCATCTTTAAAAGTAGCTTGGTTTCTCAGCATTGTTCAGTGTTGCCAATTTGTTTAAAAAAAGACAGTCTTGAAGCTGTTGACAAGTAGTTTTTATGTACTGGGAGCTGGGGAAAGTGGGGTTGGAAATAATATCTTTAGAAGAGCTAATGCCTGAAACATCAATGATTTTTAATAAACCATTTGCCTCTTGAAAATAGCTGATGTTACACTTGACTTCAAGAAATATAACACAATGGCACTAAAAGCCATAGACAAATATTCAAAGAAGAACAAAGATTAAAGAAAGATAAACATGAACATAAAGTGTTATAAAGCTGCTTTTTATGATGATGCCTTCCCAAGAAAGCACAAAAGGGAGGTAAGGAACAAAGTTGAAAGACCATGTGATTGTGCAGATGTCCATAAAGCTATTCTACTTACAAAATCAAGAGCAGAAGGGGAAGCTCTCCAAGATCTCTCTCTGTGGTAAAGAAGCAAAATGCAGGTTGGCTAAAAAATATCCAAAGATTTGTGGTCATTGCAAAGAAGACCTAGACTTTAGTAGTGCATGCTAACCATACTGACTTTAATGGCAAATAATAAAGAAGAACAGGTCTTAATGGTGAACTGGACTGCATGAATAAAGCTGGAGTTTCAGATAATATGGTCGTAAATCATTTAGAAATGTAAAGGTTCAAGAATCATTGCTACTAACTATGGCAGTAAGCCATGTACTAAAACAGTTACGCTGTTATATGTGTATAATATGAAGTAAGTCAATTTTGAGATACTTAACTGGTGTTCTTCAAATGCATTTTTGTTGTAGAAATGAAATTGGCAAAGGGTAAGGTGTTTAACACCCATTTTCACCTTTAGTTTTGTAGTTAGGAGGATTCTGAGCTGACTGGAGGAGTGTTGGATTTGTCAGTTGCATTGATATTATTTGTAGAACAGTGATGGATGATGATGAATAACATCACTGGACCTTCCAAGAGCAACAACTGGATATGCATCCTGCTGAATAAACAAGAACAAAAGGACATAAGGCAGTATTGGAGGGAAAAATATATACATTCTAAGCAATGGCTATTGTTATGTGCCTCCAAGTTGACATATAGCAAACCTCTCATAGGATATCCTTGGAAAGAGTAGGTTCGCTATTGCTTTTTTCTTAGGCTAAGAGAGTGTCACTTGCCCAAAATCACTTAGTGGGATTTCATTACTAAACAGAGATTCAGAGCCTGCTCAATGGTAGCAGAAAATAAGACAGCTGCCAAATTCCACTGGCTGCTCCACGTTGGGGGAGCAGGTTTGCACCGATACACTGGCTTTTAAGATAGTTTACTATACTGCAGACAAAAAACATAATGGGATATTGGATATCTCCTTATAGAAACACATAAAAAGTAAATTCATGGCATTATATAGTAACATTATGTCCTAACAGGACTCCAGCCTTACTATTTGGAAGTTTTCACTCTTGTTATGTATCTTCAAGGTGACTCCAAGGGCCCTTCCACACAATCCTATATCCCAGAATTTCAAGGTAGAAAATCCCACAATATCTACTTTGAACTGAATTATCTGAGTCTACACTCAGATAATGTGGGATTTCCTGCCTTGATATTCTGGGATATGGGGCTGTGTGGAAGGGCCACAAGTTATGGTGGCCCTATAACAGATGCAAAGAAAATACACCATTTCCTTTTTCTCAGGCTGAAATACTTTGAGTTGCCTAAGGTCAACCAGTGATTTTTCATGGCTAAGTGGGGTTTTGAACCCTTGGCTCCTAGAGTTCTAGCTTCATAGTCAAACTACACCGTGCCAGTTTTCTTCATGCTATAAATCATTATGCATATGTAAGAGAATACAGTACATTGAATATCAAATCAATTTCATAGTAACTTTTTTGTCTGACCCCTTTCAAAAGTGAACCAAGGTTTGGCAATGTATATGTACAACTTTATCATGAAGAAGAAAGTAAGGTAATTTGAAGTTATAATAAAATTGGAAGATGTAACAATATATCTACCTTTAAGCCTGTGTAACTAAACAGTCTAAACAAGATCTTTAGACTTCCTTATGGAGCTTTGAGGGCATTCGATTATGGAATTTCTCTGGCCATTCTTACTGAACTAGAGATGTGGAAGCAATCTATTCCCATGGACCTTTTATGCAGACTTCTTTCCATCTACATTATTTGGATTGGAAATACATTTCATTTTGGAATCTGTATATAAAAGTACACCTGCATACACAACATTCAAAACAACTAATAGGCAAGAAAAAACACGTGTAAACAATTCACATAAGTCAAATGTGCGCAAAGAGAGCAGAGGCACATCATAGTTTGTTCAGAGATGTCTGACATCAATGCACACAGGCTAGAAAAATGGTCCCAAATGTGGTTGTCTTCTAATTCAAATGTAGACCAGACATGAAAGTGGGAAAAGGACATCTGTAGATCTCAACTTGATAGGTGGTCACAACTAAGGTCCCCCCAACTTCACCCTGCCCCATAGTGACAAATGGGTGATCCTTTCACTAAGGGCCTTTTCAGACAGGCCCTATATCCCAGGGTCTGATCCCAGGTTTTCTGCTTTAAACTGGATTATATGAGTCCCCACTGCCAGATAATCTAGGATAAACAGAAAGCCTTGGATCAGATCCTGGGATATAGGGCCTGTGTGGAAGGTCCCTAAGTCAGGGACTGCCAACTGTAGGAATTCACTAAATGTTGTTAACTGCCTTCAAGTTGGCTTTGACTTACAGCAAACCTATGAATAAGATATCTCCAAGTTGCCTCATCTCAGCCCTGTTCAGACCTTGCAGACTGAGAACTATTGTTTCCTTGATTGAGTTAATCCACCTGGAACGTGGTCTTCCTCTTCCCTCATTGTTCTCCTCTTTACCAAGCATTATTGCCTTTTCTAGTAAGTCATCTCTTATCATGATATGACCAAGGTATGGCAGTCTCAGATTAATCATCTTCCCTCCTATGGAGAGTTCATGTCTGACTTGCTCTAGGACCCATTTATTTGTCTTTTTAGCAGACCACACTATCCACAGAACATGTCTCCAGCACCACACCCCACAGCTAATTTGCATGGAACAGAACATTAATATTTTTTTGGCCTCTGACATTAGTACAAGTCCCTTCAGGTTTTGGAGACACAGAGAGACAATTAAAGTCTGTGGCTTACTGTGATTGTGTCCTGATTTACTGTTCATAAAAGGTTGTGGGGTTTATTTTGTTTTTTAAATGTGAAATAATTAACTAGTCACTTCACCGTAAGAAAAATGGAGGGAGGGAGGAGTCTTTGTGGAAGCTTACAGGAAGCAAGTTTCTATTTTTAAGAAAAGTTGGGGTAAATGTACCTCTTTGAACTACTATTCCCACAATTCTCCAGCCAGCATTTTGGATTAAGTAATAATAATTTAAAGTGTGAAGAATTGAGTAATGAAAATTTAAAATAGTCTTATTTCCCCCCAGATTCTGTTTAGGCATGTACTAAAGCTGCTAGCTATCAAAATGTTAGTTATCTCAAGAGGTGCAGGCAGACTCTTAACCCAGGACTTGCTATCACTCACTTCTTGCAACAGTTCTACTGGCTGAAAGTCTGTTTCTGGGCACATTTCTTAGTACTGGTTATGACCTACATAACCCGATACAATTCTAGCCCAGGTTATTTGAAGGACCATATTCTCTCATATGAACTTATGTTTTGAAATCTTCTGGTAATCCCCCTCTCTCTGCCACACCATCCACACATATATGGTTGGTAAGACTATGAGAGAAGGCTTCTCGGTGCTGCCCCCAGAGAAATTAAACTGCCACCCTTCCCACTACCTTTCCAGAAGTAGGTAAAGACCTTTTGTCTTTGTGGACTGATGGCTTAGAGCAGTGGTTCTCAACCTGTGGGTCCCCAGATGTTTTTGGCCTACAACTCCCAGAAATCCCAGCCAGTTTACCACCTCTTAGGATTTCTGGGAGTTGAAGGCCAAAACATCTGGGGATCCACAGGTTGAGAATCACTGGCTTAGAGGGAGCAATCCATGTATCATGTGCTGAACTTTCTAATTTCTTTCTTTTTAATTGTTTGTGTTTTCAATTTTAATTACTTTGTACTTCTATATGCTGTGAATTTTTACTATATCTGTTTTAAATGTTTTAAACTACTTTAAATCCCTAACTAGGAAAAAGTGGTGTGATTATGGTAACAACAACAATTGGCCATCCAAGGCTATTGTATGCCTACATATCAGTGTAGTGCTCAATGCACAGCAAAATCATAGTTTGCTTTTGGGATATTTCTCCAAATATGTTGAGCTATTGCTAGTTGAATCTGTGCATACAGAACCTGTGCTCCAGAAGGTCAGTTGTATATAATCTAGGATTAGCTCAGTACCTCTTACCTTATGTACCCAGCCTTAGGACCATAAGTCTAAGGACCTGGAAAATGCTTGATCCTATCATTCTTTAGCTG